GAGAAAATATTTGTATTTTTTAGATTTTTATTAACTACTATTTATACTCTGCAATGGTAAAATTAAATTTCTTAGTTTATTTTTTGGCCTTCGCTACAATTTTTTATTTTGCTGGTGTGACAGAAGGAGCCAAGGTAAAATAATACCGTATACACTCGAATAATTATCTTGGGTAATTATCGTTTGAGAGAGAGTAATTCTAGTAATTCTGCCTTGCCTCTGAAGGAATTAGCCATTAACAAAGAGGTCTCCTGTTGCTGAGTACTTGCCGGGCTGTTTGTTTCTATCGCTTTAAACAGCCTTAGAAATTTTAAATAGCTACCGTATTTCCTTGAATAACTACCCTGGGTAATTAGTGCTTCAAACGTTGGTTGTAGGAGGAGGGGGTTTAAGGGAGGTTTTTACATAATTTTAAAAATATATTTTAGTATGGTAACCCTGATGATTGTCCAACAAGTTTTCCTGAAGGTTGTTGTGTTGATGGATGCTGCGTTAAAGACGAATGTAACTGCATGGGATGTTGTGGAAGTTGTGATGGATTTTGATGTGATACATTCAAAAAGGACTCTGAGAATTTTATAAAGAATACTGGAAAGATTTATTCAAATCGGGATATTTTTTAAATTTTTAGTTTAGAGCCTACCGTACTACCGACAGTATTTTTCGGTATTCCATATTGGTAGTACGACACAATACCGACTGATTTTAATGTAGGTATTTATCGCGGTATTGATATTTTTCGGTATTACGGTACGGGATACGGTATGGTATGGACTTCATGACTCTATTTGAAAATTGGGAAGAAATTTTTTATTTATCTTATTGATAAAGGGATATATAAGTATTTATATTTGTTTTATTAAATTTAAATCCGCATTACGAACTTTTTTTTATCCGCATTACGGATTTAAATCCGCATATACATATTTACGGACACCCCTTGCGGACCTTTTTTGTGGTAGACAATATAAAAATCTTCTTATACTGGGAGAAACATAGAAGAGAGAAAGATAAAAATTAATTTATATTTTTTTCTTTTCTGCTCCCCATCAAAAATTTATTATAAAAATATTCTGCATTAATATATACGTTGCAGAAATTGTTCTGTTGTGCGAACAGAAAGCCGCCGTTTCCCGCTATGAGAGAGAAACGTTCTGTCACATTAGGGTTATTGAGTCCTAATGGGAACGTCTACCTTTCTAGGTAGTCAACAGAGTTGATAAAACCTCAATGGCTAGAATGACCGACCAACGATTGACGTTTCCCTGTTCTGACCGCGTTCAACGATTGCTAGCCAATTTTGTATTGTCCGGCGAACAATAAACGCAATCTACAGTGTCGTCAAATGGCTGGAGAGCTCTCTATTGACGAAGAAATTCTAAACTCTCATAGCGGTTGTATTCGGATGGAGGGCTTCAGTGGAGTTCGACAAAAATTTTTTTAATTAAATTTAATTTTTAATAAATTTATTTTTTAATAATTTATTTTTTAATTAATGAAATAAGAAATCAGTTAGTGACGCCAAAACCCGCTGCGCTTAGGTGACGGGGGTGATGCCATGCTACTTTGGTCACATCTAACCACGTTTTTATTTTAATGACTGACCAACGATCCGATCCAACACTTATACTCGCAGTACCTAAAAAACGTAAAATTCACAGGAATGTATGTAATTTTATTTTCGTATACAATAACATATAAAATTATTTCGGTATGGGCCAACCAAGTACCGGGAAACTTTTATCGGCAATAACATTTTTGTACTTGATCCAATCATCGTAAATCTTATATCGTTCGAAAGCTCTCGATAAGCGCTACCTTTTTCTCAACTGGACGGAACAAGTCTGATCTCTCATTAAAAAGTTAGAACCCAATAAATGTGAAAACTAACGATTTCTAGCACGTACCGGGTTATAACTTTTTAATGAGTGAATCAGACTTGTTCCGTCCAATTGGAGAAAAGTTAGCGCTTATTAATAGCTTTCGAATGATATAAGATTTATTCAGATTAGATCAGGGTCAAAAAAGTTATGGTCGATCAAAGTCACCTAGCGCTCAGTTGCCCCCAACCAAAGTGAATATTAAAAGGCTTGATAACAAAAATAAAAATTGATAAGGTTCTTGTGAACAAGAAAAGATAATAATTGCTATTAATAAGGCAATTCGAGTATAATAATAAATTATATATTAAGTAAAATAATTCAAAAATTTAAAAAAGGGGACAAAAATGGCTTTTTAATAAAGACGTGTAAAAATGGCAAGGCTATTTTTAAAAGGCTTGAGTATATAAAAACGTTTAAAATAAGTCTAAAATAAAGTCTCAAAGAAAAAAGCTTCGTTGAAAAAACTATAATAAATAGAATTGAATGTATATAACAATCAAACCTCGTTTTTAAATATCCACTTTGGAGGCTTAAAAGAGATAGTATCATATCATGAGAAGTAGCTTAAGAAGAGCTAAGTATCAGGGGTGGGCTTAGTCTCGTATCTCGTGTTTTTTATTTTGTGGGTCTCGGCCCACCCCTGGTAAGTATTCTGTAGAGTTGAACCTTATAATGGAATGTACATAAAAAGAGGTTATCTTATAATGAGGTGGCTTATAGTGAGGTGTCCATTAAAAAGAGGTTATCTTATAATGAGGGTAACTTATAGTGAGGTGTCCATTAAAATGAGGTTTATCTTATAATGAAGGTAACTTATAGTGAGGTGTCTATTAAAAAGAGGTTTATCCTATAATGAGGGTAACTTACAGTAAGGGTATCGTCTCTCCTCCCGCCCAGTGGCCACCCCACTCTTTAAGAAAACGTAGCTTAAATAGAATGATCTAATATTGGGGATATCTGAAAAAGAGGTTCGATTGTATATAGAAAGAAGTTCAATTTGAAGAACCATACAAATTATTTAATGAAATACAAGAGAATAAACAAGGTTTTTCTTTTTTGTTTGCCTTGTTAGATAAAAGAAGATATGTCCTTGAACTACCTAAAAAATTAAAAAAATTGGAAGCTTAATCTTATGAGGGAAATGATATTTTTTCTGTGCCCTTCTTGGAAATTTTTGGATACCCAAAACTTAGTCGAAGAGGAAAACCCTCACAGGACAATTCGATAATTTCAAGTCTTTCCCATCCATAAGGCCCAAGTAGGCACGCGGCCATGACGGCGCAAAGCCATAAACTTTCTGGAAAATTTATGACTCTTATTAATTTTGGTACCCATCTCTTTAAAGCGATGAGAGGAATCGTTTAATACAAAATTTGGTAAGATTCAAAAATCTTGAAGCAAGTTATGACTTTACGCCGTATGACTTGCGCGTATGACTTTGTGCCTACTTGGACTGTACCCGTTCTTAAAGCCGCTATTCAAGGATGTCCTTAGAAATCATCCTTCCATCCTGCTTACTTTTATGGTCTTAACCCGAGCTTCTTTTTTTAAAGTTTTTTATTCTAAATTTTTTTTCAATCCTCTCACATAATTTTTTAACAATTCCTCGCACCAAACAAATGCCCAATTCTCTTCTTTGTTGTAATTTTGTCGGGAGGTGAAGAGTTTGTACGCAATGATGTTGAAGTTATTGTCCCAGTAGATCCAGATTCTAAACTTGAAGCAGACAAATTAGCTCCCCTTTTTGTGTTGGCAATCTTTTTAAAGGGAAAAAATTTTTTAAAAAGTTTTTCAAATTTTGAAAACTTCTTGTTTAAGTTTATCCAACAATGCTTGCTTCTCCTCCAAAACTTTACGGTTTTCCTTCTCTTCCGAATCCATCTGTCAAAAAAATTTTGATATAAAAAATGTATTGCTCACATAATATCACTTATATCTCTTCAAATCAATCCCTCCAAATTCTTTTATATCCCGAAATTCCCTGATATCCTCCCTAACCCCCGATCTCTTATATCTAATCTCACGGTATCCCACCAATCCCTTTGATATCTTTTATAATATCTAGGTAACTCTTCAAATCCTCTCATATCCAATCAAATCCACAGATCTCTACCTTAACCTCTTAATCCTTCGATATCACGCCCTGATCCCCTGATATTCCCTTTCCCCAAATCTCCAGATTTGTGTTGATCAGGATGGTAAGTGTTCAAGTTTGACCCCCCCCCCCCCTTAAAGCTAAATTTAGTGTCTAACAATTCCCCCTCCTAAATAACAAAAAATTTCTTTCTTTCCCTCACCGCCAATGCTTTCTTCACCAATCGTTGTTCACGTTCAGCAACACCCTCATTAAATAAAGCTTCCCGTTTTTGACGTGTATCTTCTGCTTCAGCCAATCTTGTTGTTGTTTCCTTTTCTAATTGAGTAAAAGGATCTTCTTCTTCAAATTTGTTTTGGGGCAAATTGCGTTTTCGATAATTTTCATAATGAACACATTTGGTTACCTTCAAAAAGAAGGGGAGATATTAGATTAAGAGAGATGAGAGAAAAATATTTTTTTAAGGTAGGAACTCTCTATTTAACGTACAAACAAGTAGGGGAACTTTTTGCGTGAATGAGTAAGTTCCAGGACCTCTAGGCTTGTGTCAGTGTCAGTTCAACTTCAACTGTTCCCCAAGGGTATACTCTAACCAGGGTTGTGTTCAGTTTCGACTTTCGTATTTCGCCGAATTTCGCCTTTTTTGTTGTTTCGATTTAGTCTTTCGCTTTTTAAAAATCAGTTTAGGCACACCCCTGGTACACTACTAATCTTTTTATTCCCATTTATGTGTTAAGAATAAAGTTTGTACAGTTAAATAAAGGCCTACCGACATCTACCGACTGACATTTGCGAACAAAACTGAGGCCCATTGAAACTGGAATAAATTGAGTGTCAAGCTTTTGCCACCTTTAGGACCCCATTTTTGTGAAGCCATGCCCCATTTTTTGTGGTTTGGAAAGGGTCACCATGGTGTCAATCTAATCGACAGGTCAGCCCAGATTCTTATCACTTATACGGTACGTTATATTGGTGGGATACAGTAAAAAAACAAGCCTAAATGTTCGCAAATGTCTCTGTTCTCAAATGTCACTATAATTCAAAAAACTACCAACATCAATTAAGTCAATCAAATTATTTTTGATTATCATATCCCTCAAAGCCATAAAATCATTGTGTGCCAAATTATCCACTTCAACTGTTCCCCAAGGGTATTCTCTAACCCTAACTCTGTGTTTAGTAGCACGTTGTTCCCCTCCAACCAAAATTTCTTTAATGTGGGTTGAACCGACAATAGCAAAAGGAAGTCGTTTGGACAGGTCTGAAGAGGCAGAATTATTGTTGCCATTTTGATGAGGTTTTCCATTAGTTAAAAAATCGTTGGTCGTTGTTCCGTTTATAAGAGGCTGTTGTTGGTGTGGAGGTTGTTGGGGAGGTGGCTGTTGTTGTTCCATATTTTCAGGAAATTTATAGAGGGAAATGTTGTTTTTTCTCATATCATCCATTATCTAAAAAAATTTTTTTCCTCTCAATATTTAAGTTAAAAAATAAAAAATTGGACCAGGGATGGACTGGGTTAAAAATATTTATGTCGGAACGGATTTTCAAAATTTTCTTTGGATCAGATTTCAGATCCAAAGGTTCAGATTTTGTTAACGCCTTGATATCGTTGACTAACCCTTCCAGTCCGTTCTCTAGTATTTATGAATTTTCTGTACTGCGTAGGGAACATTTTTGGTAGAGTGAAGGGAACATGCTTTAATAGGTGAAACCCCTCAATGATAAAAATTTTTGGCTACAAGGATAAAGGGAGGTCCAATGTAGCTATTAAAAACTTTAAAATGTCAAACTAACATTCTGTTTAAAACGTCCAAGTTCTGAAGGCAAAAGAGTATCTGCTTTTGCAATAACTGGAATAATATTTACACGTTCTTGTAATGCTTGCATAAATGCAATATCCAATTGTTTAAGGCTTAAAAAATATTTAAAAAATTTTTTTGTAATAGAAAATTAAATAAAAATCTTAATTGAGTAAATATAAGGGAAAAAAGAAAATAATAAAATATTTACACCGGAGAGGGATCGAACCTCCGTGGAAAAAAGGTAAAAATTTGATAGCGGTCCCACTACACCAAAAAAGATTTTTACGAAATTTTTTAGGCAAGCTTGTAAATGCTCCTTTATTTTAAAAATTTAGTGAAAGGGAAAAAATAATTTTTGAGCCGGAGAGGGGTCGAACCCTCGTCGAAAAAAGGCCAAATTTAGGAGCGGTCCCACTACACCACAAGACTTAAAATTTTTTTGTCAAGTTTACAAATGCCCTACAATGTATAAATTCGAAAAAAATAAAATTAATGCCCCGGAGAGGGTTCGAACCCTCGTCGAAAAAAGGTCAAAGTTGGGACCGGTCCCACTACACCACACGACTCGAAATTTCAAAAATTTTTAAAAATACCCATGTCCAGTAGGCGGAATAAAATAAACACACAAATGAACGCGTTTGTCTTCAATTTGTGGCGATCTGTCAATTTTTGTTTCTTCTGCCAAATAATCGGCAAAACGGTCATCGATATATTTAACTATTGGTTCCCAACTTGAAAAAAATTTTTTTCAATTAAAAATTTAAAAAAACCATTTTGAATTGTCCACAAAATCGCCAAAGCCAGGCGTGTCAACAACGGTTAACTTAAAAAAAATTTTTTTTATAACTTTGGAAGCGTTTCTTGGTTGATTTTTAGCCAGGGAAGGGAAAACGAGAAGAATATGGGGAAAAGTCCGCAAACTTTGTCCGCAAAAATTTAATAAATTTTTTCATAAATTTAAGAGCCCTATTTTAACTTATCCCATATTTCCCCTTTATTTCTTGTTGAAAATAGAAGAAAATAGGAGCAGGCCAACTTACCGCAGAGCTACAACTTCAGAATTGTCGAATCCGGGACGCCTTGGTATGGCTCGATGCGCCTCGACGAGCTGAATCGAACCATACCAGATTTTCCCGGATTCGACCATTTTGAAAGAAGTTATAGCTTTGCGGTAAGTACCCAAGAAATATATTTTCTAAAAATTCCCCAAAAAAATCTTTAAAAAAACCTTTAACCGAACATCATTCTCTGCAAGTTTAAATGTTTTACTTTCAATTTTCACTGTAGATTTGCTATCAATAGGCTTATCCTTCTTCAAATTGTGCAACTCGGCCATAAAAAGTGTGTTCAAGAAAGTAGACTTGCCCAAACCTGATTGGCCTAAATTAGAAATTTTTTTAAATTTGCGGATTTTATTTGCGGACAAAAAATAACCGAAGTTCGACAAGTTATCCGCCATTTTGCGTTTGTCCGCAAATTTAAAAAATTTTTCTGACAGTTATCCGCAACCTTATTTGCGGATAATTACGTATATAGCCAAAAATTTTAAGTTTGCGCAAATTTAAGTTTGTCCGCAAATTTAAATTTGTCCGCAAATTTAAATTTGTCCGCAAATAATGTCCGCAAAATTCTGAGGAAAAAAACAAATCAATCAGCGCCTACAGACCTCTCAGAAAATTAATTAAAAATAAAAATGTCCTCAACTAACCAACAACCATTAAAGTAAATTCAAATCCATTTTTGATGCATCGTCGGAACACTTGATTTGGAAAATTGGCAAAACCAACATAATCAACATTTCGAGAAATTCCAGTTTTTGTTGTTCTAGTAATTTCTGTTATTGTTGACATTTTATTTAAAAAAAATTAATTTTTTTCTTAAAATTCCTGAAAAAATTTTTTAAAAATTAAAAAAAATATTTTTAAGGCAAAAAACCTTTCAAAAAAGATGACTAAAAACGAACAAAAAATGATTAAAGTAAACACTTCTTTATTCTCTTAAAACACGACAAGAATTCAAAAATCGTGAAAAATATAAAGAATGGGAGTTGAGGACTGTTGGGCGTTGACTTAAAAATAATTTTGAGGAATTAAAAAAAATTTTGGGGAGGAGTAAGATTTGCGGACAGAAGTTGCGGACAAAATTTTTGCGGATAGAATTTTTGCGGACAGAATTTGCGGACAATTTTTGCGGACAGAACTTTTTGTCAAAATTTTCGGACAAAAAAATTTGCGGACAAACCTTGCGGACAGAATTTTTGCGGACAGAGATTTGCGGACAGAATTTGCGGACAAAATATTTGCGGACATAATTTTGCGGACAGAATTTTTGCGGACAAAACTGAAGCCTAGTGAAGCCTAGTGAAAATTGGAAGACTAATAGACTGGGGTATTTACAATAAATATTTTCTAATATTTTAAATGAGAAAAAATCAGAAAACCAGAATTTAGAAAAATTAAAAAAGTCCGCAAGTTTTGTCCGCAAATGTCGTCTTAGACCAAAAATTGTTTTTTTCATTAAACCCAAGCTTTTCCTTAAGTATAGATTATTTTCTTCCTGTCCCTATTCCCAAAGATCTTAATTTTTGATGTGTAATATAAAAATTAAAAGAGTAATAAAGGAGAAAGACATAAATTTTTAAGTATGCCTCACCCACTTTATGTAATGGAGAGGTTGTTGGGGCGCGGGGAAGTTACGGCGCGGAGTTGTAAAAATAGGCAAAAATGAGAGCCCAAAGGTCCGATAAATTTATTAAAGGTGGTTTTTTACTATCTAAAAAATTTTAAAAATTTTTTAGAAATTTTTCAAAAAAATTTTTTGAAAATTTTTCAAAAAAATTTTTTGAAAATTTTTCAAAAAAATTTTTTGAAAATTTCTCAAAAAAATTTTTTGAAAATTTCTCAAAAAAATTTTTTGAGGCCAAAATTTTAATTTTTGAGCATTTTTAAAATTTAAAACAAAAATTTAAATTTAAAAAGTGGTCCAACTATTGATAAAAAAATAATTTATAACTGTCTAAAATATTTTTGATTAAATTTTTTAGCCTTCAGTTTTTTCAAATTTGTCAGAAAATCTTGACGGAATACCTTCTGCGTCGAAGAATTTGTGAATCTAAAAATAAAATGTTTTTAAAATAAATAGGAAATGTTTTTAAGAATCAGAAAAACATTTAAAAATCAGAATATTTAGAAAGTAGAAACAAGTCTTAAAAATCAACTTGAATAAAAAAATCAGAACAATGTTTTAATGAGTGTTTTTAAAGGGAAAAACATGTTTATAAAAATCAGAATATTTTAAAAATCAGAATAATGTTTTTAGAAAATCAGAACGGTGTTTTAATAAATGTTTTTAAAGGAAGAAACATGTTTCTAAAAATCAGAATGTTTTTTTTTAAAAATCAGAATGTTTTTTTAAAAACCAGAACAATGTTTTAATAAATGTTTCTAATGGGAGAAACATGTTTTTAATAATATGTTTCCAAAAATGTTTTTAATAATGTTTCCAAAAATCAGAACGATGTTTTTCTTTAATCAGAACATGATTCTGAAATCAAAACATGATCATAAAAATCAGAATAATGTTTTTAAAAATCAGAAACATGTTTCTAACATTAGTTATTAAAATGTTTAACAAAAAACCCTTTACCTCGCCGTCTTTGTGCATCTGCATAAAAATATCAGCTCCCCCAACAAATTTCCCGTTGACATACACTTGAGGAATTGTCTAAATTTTATTTTTTAAATTTTAATAAAATTTAAAAATTTATTTACCGGCCAATCACTAAATTCTTTAATTCCTTCACGTATTTTCTCGTCCTCCAAAACATTAAAATCCTTGAATGGGATGCGGTGTAAATCGAGAATCTGAATAAAATAATAATTTTATTTTAAAAAATTGTAGTTAACTCTAAAAATATTTTTAGAAAGAATTCTAGTAACAAAAACATTTTTATAGAAATCAGAAAAATGTTTTTATAAATGTTTTGTTTTAATTCCTAATAAATGTTTTGGTAAATCATGTTTTTCTGGTTATAAATAAGAAATGTTTATGACAAGGTCAAAAATGTTTTGTTTAAATTCTGATTTTGAAAAACAAAAACATGTTTTTGTAAAATTCTGAAAAATCAGAAAATGTTTTACAAATTCTGAAATGTTTTTAAAAACCCAGAAAGTTTTTAGAAACAAAAACATGTTTTTGAAAAATCAGAACGATGTTTTTATAAAATCAGAAACATGTTTTTGAAAAATTCTGAAACGGAACTCAAACAATTTAAAAATGTTTTTGTAAAAACCAGAAAGTTTTTATGAACAAAAACATGTTTTTAAAGTTGGAAACATGGTTATAAAAATCAGAACAATGTTTTTGTAAAATCAGAACGATGTTTTTAAAAAATTCTGAATGTTTTTAAAACATCAAACGTTCTAAACAATCAGAAAAACATGTTTTTATAAAACCTGAAACAAAAACATGTTTTTAAGGTTGGCAACATGTTTTTGTAAAATTCTAAAACGTCACTTAAACATCATAAAGATGTTTTTGAAAAATCAGAACGATGTTTTTAAAAAATTCTGAATGTTTTTACAATATTCTAATAATCAGAAAAATGTTTTTATAAAATTCTGAAAATTAAAGACATTCCCTTACCAATTTAACATTCCGACTAAATCCACACATAGGCTCTGTTTGTGTTCCTTTCATAAAAACAGTTACAGGTGCGGATTTGACCTTAAAAATTAAAAAAAATTTTCTAATATTTTTAAAAAATTTACAAAATTTTCAATTCGTTCCTTAAGAACATCTTCCAGCAATAAACGTCCAGAACAATGAAAAAAATTAAAATTTGATTTTTTGTGTGTAATTGAAGCAGTAAATGATGAAGAAAAAAGCTTGGATTTCAACATATTGAAAGAGAATTGAAATAATTTTTCTAAAAAGTCTAAAAATAAATTTAAAAATTAATTTTTAAAATATTTTTCAGATTATTAAAAAAATTACAAAAAATTATTTTTTTAATTTTTTAAAATTCAAAAAGTTGCGGACAAAAAACTAAAATTTGCGGACACAGTTTGCGGACAAACCGTAAACATATTTAAATTGAAAATAAAAAAAGGACCAAAGGTTTTCCCCTCAAAATTTTAAACATTGAAAGACCTTCATAAAATCATGATTTTATTTAAAAATACTCCCTTTGTCCGCAAAAAATTTGCGGACAAACTTTTTTTTAATTAAAATTTAAAAAGTATCCGTAAACACAGCTCCACCAAACCTAAAATAATTTAAATCAACAAATAATTTTAAAAAATAAAAAATTAAAAATAATTCAATTAAAATAGTAAAATTAATTTTAAAAATAAGGAAAACAACAATAAATTTCCCATCTTTATTAAAACAAAAAAAACACAAAATGAGCAATAAATTTATTTTTAGGGATTTTTAAATTAATTAATTTGAAACAAAAAAAATCCCTAAAAATGCTTACACAGTACAACGTTAAAGAGCAAATGATATTCAATTTTGTCCGCAAAAATTTTGCGGACATCCGCAAAATATTTTCGGACAAAAAATTTTTTTCTATTTTTATGGGATGAATTGTCTCAATTTTTGTCCGCAAAAATTTTGCGGATAAAAATTTTTTGTCCGCAAAAATATTTGCGGACATCCGCAAAATATTTGCGGACATCCGCAAAAAATTTTGCGGACAAATTTTTTTTTAATTTTTTAATGGGATGAATTGTCTCACCTATATTTTTGAAGAATAAATTTAAATTTAGAGATGAAAAAAAATCTCAAATTAATGTAAAACGAAATGATGATATTCCCAAAATAATTAATTAAAAAACAAAAACTTGACGAATTCTAATAATTCAGAGAAAATAGTCTGGTTGAGGCTTTTTGGCTGGAGCACCACGATTATCCTTAAAAATTATTTTTTATTATTTTATTTTAAATTAGAAATTTAAAAGTAATTTTGTAATTAAAAAAAAATCAAAAAAAAATTTAAAAATTGTCCGCAAAATATTTGCGGACAATTTTTTCTGTCCGCAAAAATTTTTTTCATTAAATTTGGAACTGAAAACGATTCAAAAAATTTTTTAACAAAAAAATTTTTGTCCGCAAAATACTTACGGACAAAAATTTTTTAAATCCGCAAAAAAATTTTTTCTCTCTAAAAACAAACCTGTGGAGCAGCTTCAAAAATAGTAAAGTCTTTATTTAATTGCTCATCCAATTCTAATATGGCTGCCACATTTCCACAACGATAACAATAATTTGGGGCTGACCAAACTGTGAGTACCTTTAAAAAATTTTTTTTGAAATTTTTAAACAAAAATAAACCGTTTCATTAAAATGCCATTTATATCCTTCCATTACTAATTGATGTGCTCTAGCAATCATGTCAATATTATTTGTCTCACAAAAATTTTTTACAACGTCGGAGCCTTTAAAATAAAAAATTTGTATCTCACTATAAGACAGAAAATGTCACAGGCTAGAAAGTCGGGGCGGATTTTAAGTCGAAAAAAGAAAAAGGTTTCAGTTACATGCGAGTGACATCCCGACATCCCTGTTATAAGATGAAACTTTGGGGAAAGAAAAAATCTTAAAGTGGAGGTATTCCAATTCCTAATTCCAGTAATCAATCAAATAAGGTTTGCGGACACTGTCTGCAAACATTAATGGGACAAAAAATTTTAAAAATTTAGTTTTTCCAGTTTCACGAGATAGATTAACTCTACCAAATCCAATAACAAAATTAATTCAAAAAAAAAATTCCAAACCAAATAAATATCCAGCACCACGAGGACTTACACCAAAACCAACAGAATCCTTAAAATATATAAAATTATAAAAATAAAATAAAGAAAGAAAAACCTCTGGATCAGACCATAACAAGTCACACATTGGACCCAAAATAGAAAACATTTAAAAATAAGTTTTTGAAAAAAATTCTAAAAATATTACCATCATGTGGAACCTAAAAAAGTATAAAAATAATTAATGGAAAAATAACAATAAGAGATTTTCTTAAAATTTTAGTGAAACAAAAAATTATTTGTAGAGGATAAAACCCAAAATTTGGGTCAACCAAAGAATTTTATTGGAAAATTTTTTTTCGAAAAAAAAAAAAAATTTAGCCATATTATTAAACCAACTCAATCTGTGGACAAAATAAAAAGACAGAAAAAGAATGGTCCAAGGCAAAAAAATTTTTTTTTCGTTTCCATCCTCTCCCCAAACCTAAGGTCCATGACAAAAAAAATTTTTTCGTTTCAAAACTTTTTTATAACTCCAAACCTCTTGTTTTCTGTCAATTGTACGAATTTGGTCAATTGTTTGAATGCTTGGTGATAATCCACCATGAACGCAAAAGATTCTTCCATTTATTACAGCTGATAAACTTAAACAGTCAAATACTTCTGTACAACAGCGCCTGCAAAAAAAAATTTTTTTTTGCGACAGAAAATTGCGGATCCAAAAGTCCGCAACTTTTAATCCGCATGTCAAATAAAGTAAAGGTTTAATTAGAGCCCTAACTCATATAATATTAAACTCTTTTATTTCCCGATGGGTCTACTTGGGTATTTATGGGTTCCTAAAACAGACTAAACTTTAATTAGAGAATATTATACTTTTTTGCGGAGTCCACAAAAATACTTGCAGAGTCCGCAAAATAAATAAAAATTGCTAACAAAAATTTGCGGACTTCAAAAATAAAAAATATTTATTACCAAACAACAGCTGAACCATATTTTCGAAGACACTCATCATAAAATCCATAAACTTGAGTAATTTGTCTAGACTCATGGTTTCCTCTAATTAGCATCATTCTATCAGGATAACGAATTTTTAAAGCCAAAAGGAGCAAAAACGTCTCAACAGAGTAAAATCCACGATCCACAAAATCTCCAAGAAAAAGATAATTTGTTTCGGGGACTTGGCCACCAACACGGAAAAGTTCCATTAAATCGTGAAATTGGCCATGGACGTCGCCACAAATCTTTGGGAAAAATTTAAAAAAATTTTTAAAAATTAAAATAAACTGTGACGGGCGCATCTATCCGTTGAACATTCCCTTCTTGCATGAGGATTTCACGAGCTTTAGCACAGAGAACCTTGACTTCTTGTTCGCTGAGACATTCACAACGCATTAAGGTTTCGATTTGTCTAAAAAATAGAAAAATTATAAAAGTCCGCAGAAAATGTCCGCAGAATATTTTCGGATGTTTAGTGGGTGTCCGCAGTTACCAAAAAATATTACCGACAAAAAATCTATAAAGAAAAGAGGGAACAATAGGACAAGACGTATTAAAAACATAGGCACATTATACACAAACATATGTATTTGATAAACCTCGGCACAATCAATTTTAATCGAGGTGGAAAAAACAAAACATATTCTTATTATGTTAATGTATGGCAGCAAATACCACCAACTTACTTAAAATGGATGTCAAGAAAATTAATGTCGGTCAGACACAAACAGGGTTAACCAAATCCAAGGAGCCTATCATTCAAAACCGAACCAAAATCGAAAAACCAGGGATCAGAAACCAATAATAGCCGAAAATCAGATACGAATAACAGAGGGTGCCCAATCCTAAAACATTAAAAAAAACCATGTCCAAAATTTCTAAATAAAAATTTTGGAAACCCCATCCCTTGGAGCCCACCCCATTTAAATTTAAAAAAATAAATAATCAAAAAAACCTGTCCAAATCAGCCGTTCTCGTTCCACTATTAATAACAGCAGAAGAAACATCAGAAGTTGAAGTTGTACTAGTTGTTGTAGTGGTTGATGTAGATGTTGTTGTTTGTGTTGAGGAAGTTGTGCCCCCTTCCTCTACTTCATTATTGTCATCAATTCTTCGTACTAATACAGAAGGACGAGTTTCTTCCAACTTTTCTGATGATGTTGAGGAAGTTGAAACACTGCTACTGTCGGCTTTCATTTTTTAATACAATTTTGCTTAATAAATGAAAAAAATATAAGTCCGCAAAATTATGCGGATGTCCGCAAATAACTTACGGACGTCCGCTGTAACTTGCGGACATCCGCAATTTAAACGATAGCGGATTAATGGATCTTTTGTCAAATAAGGATGAGAAAAAACTGTCCGCAAATTTTTTGCGGACATCCGCAAGTCATTTGCGGATGTCCGCAATTTTAAATATTACGATTTATTGGAAAAACGTTAAGAATGTGTATCAGGTAAATAACTTATAAAATTAAGATAGTTGTGGCGTTAAAAATAGAAACTAGAAAAAAAATTAGAAAAATATTGAGTTAAAATTGCATAATACAATTAAATAAAAATAAAAGAAAAATCAACATAAAAATCAAATTTTTATTCGAAAAAAAAAGAAATAAAGGAGAAAAATATACGTTACTAGAGGAGGAAAAAATCCGTCAAAAAATTCAAAAAATTTTTTCCCAAAAAAGTTCGCCGAAAATTTTTTTTCATAAAATTTTTAAAAATTCATGTCAAAATGTTGAAAAAACATTTAATCAAAAAATTTAAAAATTTTGGACAAAAAAATAAAATTAAAAAAATAAACTTGAAATAAATTTAACGACGATAATCATGAAAATCATCGTCATCATCCCGCCTCCGTCGACGACGATCTCTATCTCCACGGTCTCTGTCACCTCGATCTCTATCGCTACGGTCTCTTAAAAAATTTTTTATAAAATTAATTTTAAAGTTAAAAGGATTTCAAAAATTTTTTGCAGATGTCCGCAAATTTTTTGCGGACTATTTTTTCTTTTGCGGACTTATTATTTTACGGACAACTATCAGACTTTTTATTTTTTGCGGACTTCTTATAAGAAAAAATTTGTCCGCAAATTTTTGCGGACATCCGCGAATCAATTTCTAGTATTTTTTAGTCGAAAAAAATTTTTCTAAAAATAAATCGAACCTATCACGTCGGTCATCATATCCATCATCAGCATAAAAACCTTTAAAAATAAAATAATAAATTTTACAAAAAATAACACAAACGATCATGTCGCCGTCCACTCCTATATCTAGCACCTTTGCCTCCATAACAGCGTTCATAACTTTAATAAAAAAATTTTTTTTGAATTTTTTGGTGCCTTATTCTCGATGATTTTAATTAAAAAATATTTTTATAAAAAAATAAAAAATATTTTCCCTGGAAGGGGTTCGAACCAACGACCTTTAAATAGTAAAAACTAAAGATTATCCCACTACACCAAAAAGGTAATTTTTTGAGGGAATTCAAAGAAACGATTTTTAAGAACATACACATCATCAGACACATCCTTCAAATGCATAAAATTACAAAATCCTCCCTTTACGCAAGTACTGATTTCGTGTTGACGACAACGTGCCTCACGAAAATCTGATACTGGTGAAAGTTCAGCATAAATTGGGTGGCCGTTAAACCTTAAAAATTGACAAGTTAAAGTTATTAATAAAAAATTTTTTTTCTAGAATTAGGAGAGAAAAAATAAAAAAATGAAAAAAGCGACCAAATTTTTACTAATGGGTCCAAGAAAAATCAAGGTAAACGCCAAGAGTATGGCGAACAACCTAGATGTATTAGAGATCGAGATTTTTGAAAAGCCTGGGCCTGTTTATGGGTTTGATTTATTGACCCGGGCCTGTAGTCCAGGAATAACCCAAAAAGGTCAAAAAATGCCTGTGCCTGGGAACAGGGTACAGAAAAACCCAGGCATTGGTCCAGGCCTAGCCCGATCTCTATTATGTATAACCACACAAGAAGTCCGACCCATGGTTACATCCTTATTATAAGGACAAAGACCCGGGCTAATCTCAAATTCGAATCAAGGGTAATTCCAAGGCTGGTCCCCCCTTTTTTTTTGTGTTCGCCTGACCATTTTGGTCTTTTTTGCTTGACATATTATTTACAATATATCATTCGAAAGAGCTGTTCGAGCTGAGTAGAATGATACTATGATCGGTTCGATTTGGAGATTCTGAGCAGAATTATGAAGCTAAATCCTCGATGGACATGCTTTTTATGATGTTGAAGTGGATTAAAACAAATGCTCATAACTATGTTTATTTAAGTCGGATTTCGATGAATTTAGTACCGTTCGACTCGGCTTGAAGAGCTCTTTCGAACGATATATAATTTGCCATAAAAAGTTTAAAAATCGAAAAAAACTAGAAAGGAAAAAAAGGGGGACCAGCCTTGGAATTACCGAATCAAGTGTGGCCAACTTGCAAAAAATAATTTCCAGATACATTCAAGTACCACTAGAAGATACCCCCAGAATTAGATACCTCTTCAGTTAAAGATAATGGATAGTTTTTGACCCTTGAGTGGGGGAAACAACACAGACTAATTTCTGGGGTAAGATTGCCCACAAGATATTTTTGGCAAAATATTTTAGCAAAATAAAATTAAAAAGAAAACCATCTATTTTCCAATCCTTGAACTGCTTTTTCTGCATCTTTCTCATAAACAAATTTTACATAAACATTGCCAACCTACAAAATAAAAATAATGAATGATTAAAAAACAACAAAAAATTCAAACCATATGCTCTCCAATATTTTCACAAATCTTAAAAAAATTTTTTTGTAAAACAAAAAAAAATAAAAAAATTTTTTACATTTAATTCTTCAACAGGCCCATATTTCCTCTCCATTTCTGTAAAAACTTCTTCATAAAATTCATCAAAATGTTGTTGATCCAAATTATCGGTCTTGCCGAGTTCTGAAAAAATTTAAGTGAAAAACGTGAAGTTTCTTATCTCCGGGGAACTTAAAAAATGAGAGAACGTCTTATGTTAGCGATAAAGCCGAGAAAATGTTAGCGAGAAAGCCGAAGGTCGGGCGAGAGAAAAAATAGACTTATTGGAAAAAATTATAACACTAACATAAGGATGGATCGGGCTGAGAAAAAGTGGTTTCGGGTAATCCGACCCATTCCCAAACATATTGGGACGTAAATTAATCCTTTGACGTTCAATTTGAAATGCAAACAATCAGAAGGAAAAAATGAAAACTCTGACCGACTATTTTCTTAACACGCATGGAAGCATAAAATACATTAAATAGACAAAATGCTGGCTTTTACTTATCCCGAGTAGAGATCGAGCTAGGGCTGGAACAAGGTTTGGGGTTTTCCTGTACCCAGAGTCTAGGCCCAGGCATTTTTTGCATTCCTAGGGTTTTTCTGTGCCTGGGTTTAATCTGGACTAAAGGCCCAGAATCCGCCCAGATCAATAAATCAAACCCAGAGTTCAGGAACAGACCCTTGGCTTTTCCTAAATCTCGAATCTCGAGTAGTCCTTAGTTCAAACATATTAAAATTAGCCCTTAATTTTCTGAATCAAAAATGAAACTCTTAATTCCCTTTAACCAGGCCCGTAGCACCGTGAAAATTTTTCCTGGCTACGGGCCTACCATAAACGATACTTTTCCGTTATCCCTGCCCCCCTTTTGCGGACTTTTTTTTTCGGACTTCCTTATGTAGTCTTCTTCCTCAATTTCACTCAATTTTTCTGGTCTGACCATTCTTTACATAAGGCAGTCCGCAAAAGGGAGGTAGGAAAAAAATATTCAAAATTCTCCTTAAACATATCACTTACTCAAAAATTACCCACTCTCCTATTAAAGTAAGCTCAAAACCCAGACCGTAAATTATAAAAATAAAAACAAACTCAAATTATCATAAGCATCAGGTTGTGCAAGTGCTGGACTATGATAAAAATTTTTGAGTAAAACAGTGTTGGAGAATGTTGGTCTGTGATGGGCACGTAAACATTTATCGCCGTGTCGACAAGCGCCAATCTTGAAAAGAAAAAAGAAAAGTGAGCCATATTTAAAAGAAACCTTGAAAAAGAAGGAACAGTTGACTTTATCTTTTTCTGTTCCATAAATGCTGGCCAAATACTCAGCTCCAGAAAGTTCTTCAGTTGCATCATAACGAGAAGACATTTTAAGAAAAAATATGAAAACCTAAAAAAGAAAATATAGAAATGAAGAGTAGGGATAAAGCTGGATCTGAGCCAAAGATCTAGGACAAGATCAGGTCTGAACCAGGATCAGCTTCAGGATCAAATCCAGGTCAAAGTGAGCTAGAGATCGGCATAGGAGGGATCCAGGGCAGGAATTTACGGGATCCCGTCCAGGAATCCCGGGTTTTAATAGACGAACGGGATTACCTGGATTTTGAGATTAACGGGATTAATCCCGGGAATCCCTCCCGTTCGATCTTATCAAACTCTTATCAAACTCAATCCAGTTGCAGGACCCCGGAAACGCGATTTAACCGATCTCTAGTTAAAGCTACGGTCTAGGGTTTTCCTGTACCAATCCTTAATCCATCCGTTAATCGAAGTTCATGCTTATTAGGTTCGAATTTCTACACAAATCGAATAGAGTAACAATGGGATCAAAAAGAGGAACATAAAATTAACAAAAATCACATGAAAAAGTTTAAACAAGAACCACGTAGACCCCTAAAAATCGAAAATCGTAAGGCAAAAATGATTTCGATAAAAAAACCTTTAACTCTATCTTTTAATATTTCTTCTTTTCTGTTTCTCTATTTTTCTTTGATTCTAAACAAATTTGTGTGTGTCTAACCTTTTTCTTCCAAAAATGTCAACTCGAATAAAATATTTCAAAATATCTACACAACGTATAGTTCAAAATGTCCAGTAGAAGAAAATATTAAAAATCGTCTAACCTTCTCTCTTTCTCTATTTTGAGCATGTACTATTTCTTTATTTTCCTTTAAAATGTCAAAAAGCTGTTGAGTATTTCAAAATACCTAAAGCCTATAGCAGTTAAAAATGTTCAGCAGTGGAAGAAATTAAATAATGTCTATTTTGATTTGATTTTTTTCAGGGGTTTTTTCTAAAGATAGGCGCGGGACAGGATCCCGCACAGGATTTTTCAGGATCCTGTCAGAAATCCTGCATTTTTTCAGTTTTCAGGATTTTCAGGATTAATCCTGCAGGATCCTGTCCCGTTCGAAATTTTAAAACTCAATTCTGATACAGAATCCTGCAAATGCGATTTTTCCGATTTCTAGTTTTTTTGTTAATTTTTAAAATTTTTTTTCTTTTAATTTTTTTATTCTTTTATTAGGTTTTACTTCAAATTCCACTCATTTTTCGAAGGTCTTTAAGCAAATTTCACTTCAATTTTTAATGTCTACAAGTGCCTCTTCTTCTAAAATTGTCCGTCATGTATCGAAGGTTTTTTTTAATTTTTTTATTGTCTGCTTCATTTTCATTTAATTTCCCTAAAAAGGTTTGTCATGTAGATGAACAACAACTTTATTTGAGTGAACGTGTTTGGGCGTGTGCTTGGCATTTTGGTGGGAAATTAATTGCTTCGGCTGGGGAGGATAAAACAATCAAGGTTTTTTTGAGAGATTACTTGAAGGATTTTTTAATTTTTAAATTAAAAAATAAGATTTGGAAGTGTGAAGAGGAGGAAAATAAACAAAATAATGGAAAAATTGAAGCAACTTCTGAAGGTTAAATTTTTTAATTTTCAAAAAAATTTTCAAAAAAAATTTTTGGTAATCCTTAAGATCATTGGTCCCTAAAAAAATTGGGAAAAAAAGTGCTGTTTTGATAATTTTGAGGTCTGCCAGTAGGTAATCGAGTGTGCTGAGTCCAAATCTGAGCTTAGAATTGGTTTATTTCGAACCCCGGACCCAAATTCGACAAAGTCGGTTTCGGGGTAAACATTTCGAAATTAAAAATTTAGGGCTAATCTGACACGACTATTCGAGCTGAGTCGAATGGTATCAAAATTATGATGTTTCGACAACTTTGGACGAAGTTATGGTGTCTGATTTGTATACGGAAGTCTCAGCAAGCGTGTATTAAATTGATCATAACTTCGTCCAAAGTTGTCGAAACATCATAATTTTGATACCATTCGACTCAGCTCGAATAGTCGTGTCAGATTAGCCCTAAATTTTTAATTTCGAAATGTTTACCCCGAAACCGACTTTGTCGAATTTGGGTCCGGGGTTCGAAATAAACCAATTCTAAGCTCAGATTTGGACTCAGCACACTCGATTACCTACTGGCAGACCTCAAAATTATCAAAACAGCACTTTTTTCCCAATTTTTTTAGGGACCAATGATCTTAAGGATTACCAAATTTTTCGAATTTTTTTAAGTTTCTCCCCTTTCTATAATCAAAATAGGAACAATTCGAGGTGATCAGACTCGTTCAATTCGTTGGGTGTGCTTTTCCCCCTGTGGAAGGTTTCTTGCTGCAGCTAGTTTTGATGCTACAATAATTATTTATGAGAGAAATAAGTTTGTTTAAATTTTTATTTTTTATGGGAAATTTTTGGATTCTATTGGGGAGTTCTTTTTTATAAATTCAATAATTTATGAAAATAATTTTTAAAAAATTTATGGATGGACTTGCCAGCAAAATTTTTTTGCAAACGAAATTTTTGTGGGGATTTTTTAAAAATAGCGATACTCATTTTATTTAAATAATTTATTCTGTATTCTAACAAGCCAGAAAAATTAATTTAAAATTTTTTAGAAGCTCCAATGAATTTGAAGAACTCCACAAATTAGAAGGACACGAGTGTGAGGTTATATCTTGTAAATTGGAATTTTTTTTGAACAAAAATTTTTTCAGGTAAAGTGCTGCAGTTTTTCAATAAGTGGACACTATCTTGCAACTTGCTCTAGAGATAAAACTGTTTGGATTTGGAAAGGTTTAATTCAGTTAACTTAAATTTTGAAATTTAATTCGCTTCCACATGTGCCGCTATAGCCGGATAGAGCGTGGTTCTAATAACTCATAGCCAGCCCAAGGTCGCAAGTTCGATCCTTGCTAGCGGCATATAACTTTTCATTAAGAAATAATTTTCTTAGAAATTTTATTGATTTTTTTTTCTAAATTATTTTTAAACTTATTTTAATGATTTTGGAAATCAAAAATAATTTGTTGACATGATTTTTTACTAAAAAATTTTTTTTTTCGTGAATTAAATTAATTAAAAACTATCGGGACAATAAACCTTTAACTAATTTTCGCCATAAAAAATTTTTTTTCATTTAAGAATCTTTTTTAATTAAATAATTTTTTTCTAGTTCCTTTTGAAAACGATGACGAAGATTACGAAGTTCTCTCTATCCTTCAACAACACACTGCTGATGTTAAATTTGTTGTTTGGCATCCTAGAGAAGACGTAAAAATTTGAATTAAATTTTGGGTTAAAATATGTGGGGAAATAAAAAAATATTTTTAGGGCTGAGAAAAAAAATTAAAAAATATTTTTTTAAAGGGCGAAAGAATTTTTATAATTTTTAATAATTATTTCCACATGAAAAAACTATATGCCGCTAGCAGGGATCGAACCTGCGACCTTGGGCTTATTAGACCCACGCTCTAACCGGCTGAGCTATAGCGGCACATGTGAGGAAAAATTAAATATGTTGTTAAGTAATATATTGAAAATTGATTGAATTGTGTTTGTTTGCAATTCTGATCAGAGAATGTTTAATTAAAATTCTGATTATTCAGAAGAATGTTTTATTAAAATTTTGATTTTTCCTGGGAATGTTTTAATAAAATTCTGATTTTTTCTGGGAATGTTTTATTAAGATTCTGATTGTTCAGAAGAATGTTTTATCACAATTCTGGTCATCCGGAAAATGTTTTATTAAAATTCTGATTTTTCCTGGGAATGTTTTTTTTCAAAATTCTGATTATTCCGGAAAATGTTTTATTAAAATTCTGGGCATTCCGGAAAATGTTTTATTAAAATTCTGATTATTCCGGAAAATGTTTTAATAAAATTCTGATTTTTTCTAGGAATGTTTTATTAAAATTCTGATTATTTCCTGGGAATGTTTTAATAAAATTCTGATTTTTTCTGGGAATATTTTTTCAAAATTCTGACTATTCCGGGAAATGTTCAATTAAAATTCTGGTTTTAATTGTAAATTAAATAGACTATAGCAATGTTTTATTTTAATTTTTAGATACTAGTTTCCGGTGGTTATGATTGTTCAATTCGTTTCTATATTTTTGATGGAGATGAATGGGTTACTGCACAAGCAATAGCTGATGCACATTCCGAAACTGTTTGGTTATTTTTTAAATAAAATTAATTTTTATTTTTTTTTCTCAATAAAATTTTTTTAGGTCCGCAGCATTTGATAATTTAACCGGTCAACATTTGGCAACAGTTGGTGGTGATAAAACAATAAAAATTTGGAGTAAAGAGAAAAGACCGGAAGAAGGACAGAGTTGGTAAGAAGGAAAATTTAAATTTTTAGAGAAAAAAATAAAAATAGGTGCTCTTGGAAAATTGCAGTGAATTTGCCTTTTTTGGAGACTAAATGGCCTCTTTACGCGGTTGTTTGGAATTGTGATGGAATAATTGCTGTTGGAGGCGGTGACTGTCTTGTAAGGTGAATAAACTTCAAATTAACCAAAACTTGAATTTATGTAAAATCAGAATTTAATTTTTAAGGTTATTTGTTTTTGATGTGGAAAATTCAGCACTTTCACTCCTGTCTTCAATACGACTACCTAGCGAAGTGAGTTTTCCAAACAATTTTATTTATGTTTGTTTGAAATTCTGATTGTTTACGGAAAATGTCTAATTAAAGTTTTGATTTTTTTGTAATTGTTTGTTTGAAATTCTGATTTTTCCCGGGAATGTTTATTTAAAATTCTGATTTTTTGTAATTGTTTTAATGAAATTCTGATTGTTTGCTGAAAATGTTTAATTAAAATTCTGATTTTTTGTAATTGTTTTAATGAAATTCTGATTTTTCCCGTTAATGTTTATTTAAAATTCTGCTTTTTTGTAAATGTTTTAATGAAAATCTGATTTTTCTCGTGAATGTTTATTTAAAATTCTGATTTTTTGTAATTGTTTGTTTGAAATTCTGATTGTTTACGGAAGATGTTTAAATAAAATTCTGATTTTTTGTAATTGTTTTAATGAAATTCTGATTTTTCCCGTTAATGTTTATTTAAAATTCTGCTTTTTTGTAAATGTTTTAATGAAAATCTGATTTTTCTCGTGAATGTTTATTTAAAATTCTGATTTTTTGTAATTGTTTGTTTGAAATTCTGATTGTTTACGGAAGATGTTTAAATAAAATTCTGATTTTTTGTAATTGTTTTAATGATATTCTGATCTTTCCCGAGAATGTTTAATTAAAATTCTGATATTTTATGTTTATTTTAGTATTCTGATTTTTGTTTATTTTTGCAGATAATAGTTTATGAGAATCTTTTAATAAAATTTTGATTTTTCTTTAATTCAACTAATATTTTTATAGATAAACTGCCTAGCTTGGAGGCCAAAACAACAATCAGAACAAACAACAAATTATTTGGCTGTAGCTTCGGATGATGGCCATTTGCATTTTCTACAAATTGATAACCAATATATTAATAGGTTTGGTGCTATAAATGGACAAATTGGTGATTAAAAATTGTTTTTTATACGTTTTGTTTTCAACTTAAAATTTTTAAAAGGCAAATAATTTTATAAAATTTATTTAAATACAAATTTGAATCGTTAAATTGTTCAGAGTATATTTTATTTAAAATTCTGATTATTCCGGAAAATGTTTTGACGTTTTAATTTGATGTTTGTTTAAAATTCTGATTATTCCTGAAAATGTTTTGGTATTTTCTTTTGATGTTTATTTTAAATTCTGATTATTCCGGAAAATGTTTTGATATTTTCTTTTGATGTTTATTTTAAATTCTGATTATTCTGGAAAATGTTTTTGATATTTTTTTAGATGTTCATTTAAAATTCTGATTCCGGAAAATGTTTATTATTTTTAACGTTTGTTTGAACTTCTGATTGTTTCGGAAAATATTCTTAATATTTGTTTTGATGTTTATTTTACATTCTGATTATTCCGGAAAATGTTTTTGATATTTTAATTTGATGTTTGTTTAAAATTCTGATTATTCCGGAAAATGTTTTTGATATTTTAATTTGATGTTTGTTTAAAATTCTGATTATTCCGGAAAATGTTTTTGATATTTTAATTTGATGTTTGTTTAAAATTCTGATTATTCCGGAAAATGTTTTTGATATTTTAATTTGATGTTTGTTTAAAATTCTGATTATTCCGAATTTTTGATACTTTCTTTTGATGTTCATTTAAAATTCTGATTATTCCGGAAAATGTTTTTGATATTTTAATTTGATGTTTGTTTAAAATTCTGATTATTCCGAATTTTTGATACTTTCTTTTGATGTTCATTTAAAATTCTGATTATTCCGGAAAATGTTTTTGATATTTTAATTTGATGTTTGTTTAAAATTCTGATTATTCCGGAAAATGTTTTTGATATTTTAATTTGATGTTTGTTTAAAATTCTAATTATTCCGAATTTTTGATACTTTCTTTTGATGTTCATTTAAAATTCTGATTATTCCGGAAAATGTTTTTGATATTTTAATTTGATGTTTGTTTAAAATTCTGATTATTCCGGAAAATGTTTTTGATATTTTAATTTGATGTTTGTTTAAAATTCTGATTATTCCGGAAAATGTTCTTGATATTTTAATTTGATGTTTGTTTAAAATTCTGATTATTCCGGAAAATGTTTTTGATATTTTAATTTGATGTTTGTTTAAAATTCTGATTATTCCGGAAAATGTTTTTGATATTTTCTTTTGATGTTTGTTTGTTTGAAATTCTGATTTTGAACGCTTAGTAAAAATAGTTTCTTAAACAAGAAGCTCAACATTTCATTTTCCATGCATGTCTTGAGGCATTTCTTTCCCTTGTTAGCGCTCCTTGTTAAGCATGCGAATGAGAGTTTTATTTAATGTGTGAATGAGTGTGAGTTTTAAAAAATAAAAAGGAAAGGAAGTGGCGGATGAAGCTGTGAGAAATAAATAAAAATATATTTATAGAAGCAATGGCCATTGAGGGGGATAACAAGAATGAGGCGGATGAAGAAGCTGAGTTAGTATTATATAAGGAAGGGGAAGGGTTGAGCGGAAAGAAGGGAGAAAAAAACTCAGAACAGGATGGATAAGTCGCCAAATTGATTGGAGTTGTTACTTGCTTTTGCTAACAAGCACAGAGACCCTTCCCCTCCCTCATCATCTTTTACTTGCCCTATGGCGTTTTTCACCTCTTTCCTTCAAATGGCACTTGACTGGTTAAGAAAGTTGAGAAAACATAAGTTTTGCTTTTTTTATATTTTTATTCTTTGAATTCTAACTTTTCATGCCAAATATGTCCTAGTTATAATACTTATGCTAGGTTTCCGGAAACATGAAATGAACATTTATGAATTCTGATTTTTCAAACTGACAATTAAACGAAAATATTCCGGAAACAATGAAGCAAACATTTTAATTATAACGCAGCAGAACTATGAAATAAACATTTTCCGGAAATATCAGAATTATTAAATAAACATCTTACGGAAATATCAGAATTATTAAATAAACATTTTCCGGAAATATCAGAATTATTAAATAAACATTTTCCGGAAATATCAGAATTATTAAATAAACATGTTTACGGAAATAGAATGAGGATGAAACAAACATCTTACGGAAATTAAATTATCAGACAAACATCCTCCGGAAATAACAGAATGCGAAGCAAACATGTTCAGTTAGAAATGTTTTATGAATCAAATTTTAAGCTTCTTTCACGCGTTCTTGTCTTTTAATTCTTTAAATTTATATTTTCTAGATTTTAGTGAATTAAAGGATTAAATTTATATGAAAAATTTATTAATTTCTAACCCAAAAAATTATTTTAAGAAATGCCTTAGAAATTTTTCAGAAGGGAGGGGAAGGAATTTACAACTCAATAAAATTGCAACAACTGTAGGTACATCAATTAAATATAGAAATGGAGGGCGGCTTTTCCTTTTCTTTTATTTATTACTTAATATAAAACTAAGGACTATTTTATAGAAGATTATCCATTAAAATTGTCTAGGAATTATTTAATGGATGGATAATTCTTATAAGTTTAATCAATTTGTTTCAACTATTTCCGGAAGTGTTTTGTTTGTTTTCTGATTTTTACGCAACATTGTTTAATAACCCTTTATTATATTGTTTTTAATTTTTGATTTTTCCGGAACATGTTTTTATCATATTCTGTTTTTTTCATTTTTATTAAATTCTGACTTTTACGGAATATGTTTTTATGTTTTTATTATATTCTGTTTTAATTAAATTCTGACTTTTCCGGAACATGTTTTTATGGTTATTGCTTCATTTAAAATGTTTTCCGGAAAATGGTTTATTTATTTACTTCTCCTTTTGATGTTTTATTTATAGGATTTCCGGAATATGTTTTTTTGAAATTCTGATTTTTAAAAATAATTCTGGTATAATTCTAATCGCCCAAAAACTTAAATTCTGATTTATAATTTATTTTAACAACATTTCTATTTTAACAACAAATAATCTGTAAAATGGGCCGTTGCACATCCAAATATCAAAAAGACCAGAAGAAACAAACAAGAAAAATAGATGAACAGTTAAGGAAGGAGGTAGATGTTTTTAGAGAAAAGAAAAAATTTCCTTTAAATTTTCCTTTAGCATTCAATGGATATGCGGATTATAAAGCTATTATTACTTGGTTACTAAATTAATATTTTCCAAAAAATTATTTAATTTGTGCCAGGTGCTGGAGAAAGCGGGAAAAGCACAATTTTAAAGCAAATGAGGTTGAAATTAATTTTTAAATTTAAATCATTTAATTTCAAAGAATTCTTCACAAAGACGGCTTCTCTAGACAAGATTTGGAATTAATTAAACCTGTTGTTATTTGGTGGTTAAAAAGATAAAAACAGAATAATTAATTTAATTTCGAATATTTATATGTTTCCGGAAAAATATTTTAGTTAAAAATTTGATGTTTTTGAAGCATGTTCAAATAAAATTCTGATTTCCGAAAATGTTTTATTTTCTATGTTTATTTAAAATTCTGGTTTTAAGAAATTCAATTATTTCCGGAACATTTTTCCGGAAAAGAAAATAGAAATTAGTTGTTTCTTAAACATGTTCATATAAAATTCTGATTTTATATGAATATGTTTTATTTCTAATGTTGTTTCTTAAACATGTTTTTCTAAAATTCTGATTTTCCGGAAAATGTTCATAAATAGACATGTTCAAATAAAATTCTGATTTTCCGGAAAATGTTTATGTAATATTCTGATTTCCTATAATTGTTTTTACTTAAAACAATTTCCTCCCAACTTTTTTAGCAACACTATTCATTCAATGCTTGCTATTCTTCGAGCAATGTTTCACCTCCACATAGACTATGGCGACCCCGAAAGACTGGTAAAAAATTTCAAAAATATTTAAATAAATTTTTTAATAGTGTAGAAAGATAGTCAACTTGTTTTTGCTACAATTCATGCCAACAGGGAAGAATTAACCGATGAATTAGTTGACGCCATGCAAAGGCTATGGAAGGACGAAGGCGTCCAAGAATGTAAAATAATAAAATAATTTTTTAAATAAAATTAATTATTTTTAGGCTTCAGACGGTCTAATGAATACCAGGTTGAGGAAATATTTTTGAAGCCAAAAAATATTTTTTTTATTAAAGATAGATGATTCCGCAAAGTATTTCTTGGACAATCTAGCAAGGTTAGGCGCCCACAACTATATGCCTACAGAACAGGATTTGCTTAGAACAAGGATAAAGGTGGGGGAAGCTTGTTTAAATAAAAAAAATAGTTTTTATTAAGACAAGTGGAATTACTGAAGTGCTCTTTGAACTTAAAGGCCTTACGTTTAGGTAAAATATAAAATACTAAAAATTTTAATAATTAAAACATCATTTAGGGTAATCGATGTTGGTGGACAGCGGTCTGAACGGAAAAAGGTATATAACAGCTTCGGACTAAAAATTTCCGGAAAACAATGTAATACCAAAAACAAATACTGATCCTAAAGATTGAAATATAAAAACATTATAAAACATTTCAGAAAAATCTGTAAAAATATTTCAGAAAAACATCTAAATATAAAGGCATTTTCAGAAAACATTAAAAACATTTCCGGATAAACATAAAATATTTCAGTACAAACATTTAAATATAACATTTCCGGAAAAACATTTTCAGAAAAACATTTAAATATAACATCTGCGAAAAACATGTAGAAACATTCAAATATAAAAACAAACAGGAGAAACATTCCGGAAAAACATTTAAATATAGAAAAATTTCCGGAAAACATGTAAAAACATTTTCAGAAAAACATCAAAACATCTAAACATTTCCGGAAAAACATGCAAATATAACATCTGCGAATAAAACCATTTTCAGAAAAACATGCAAATATAAAAACATCAGGAGAAACATTCCGGAAAAACATCTAAATATAAAAACATTTCCGGAAAAACATCTAAATATAAAAACATTTCCGGAAAAACATCTAAATATAAAAACATTTCCGGAAAAACATCTAAATATAAAAACATTTCCGGAAAAACATCTAAATATAAAAACATTTCCGGAAAAACATCTAAATATAAAAACATTTCCGGAAAAACATCTAAATATAAAAACATTTCCGGAAAAACATCTAAATATAAAAACATTTCCGGAAAAACATCTAAATATAAAAACATTTCCGGAAAAACATCTAAATATAAAAACATTTCCGGAAAAACATCTAAATATAAAAACATTTCCGGAAAAACATCTAAATATAAAAACATTTCCGGAAAAACATCTAAATATAAAAACATTTCCGGAAAAACATCTAAATATAAAAACATTTCCGGAAAAACATCTAAATATAAAAACATTTCCGGAAAAACATCTAAATATAAAAACATTTCCGGAAAAACATCTAAATATAAAAACATTTCCGGAAAAACATCTAAATATAAAAACATTTCCGGAAAAACATCTAAATATAAAAACATTTCCGGAAAAACATCTAAATATAAAAACATTTCCGGAAAAACATCTAAATATAAAAACATTTCCGGAAAAACATCTAAATATAAAAACATTTCCGGAAAAACATCTAAATATAAAAACATTTCCGGAAAAACATCTAAATATAAAAACATTTCCGGAAAAACATCTAAATATAAAAACATTTCCGGAAAAACATCTAAATATAAAAACATTTCCGGAAAAACATCTAAATATAAAAACATTTCCGGAAAAACATCTAAATATAAAAACATTTCCGGAAAAACATCTAAATATAAAAACATTTCCGGAAAAACATCTAAATATAAAAACATTTCCGGAAAAACATCTAAATATAAAAACATTTCCGGAAAAACATCTAAATATAAAAACATTTCCGGAAAAACATCTAAATATAAAAACATTTCCGGAAAAACATCTAAATATAAAAACATTTCCGGAAAAACATCTAAATATAAAAACATTTCCGGAAAAACATCTAAATATAAAAACATTTCCGGAAAAACATCTAAATATAAAAACATTTCCGGAAAAACATCTAAATATAAAAACATTTCCGGAAAAACATCTAAATATAAAAACATTTCCGGAAAAACATCTAAATATAAAAACATTTCCGGAAAAACATCTAAATATAAAAACATTTCCGGAAAAACATCTAAATATAAAAACATTTCCGGAAAAACATCTAAATATAAAAACATTTCCGGAAAAACATCTAAATATAAAAACATTTCCGGAAAAACATCTAAATATAAAAACATTTCCGGAAAAACATCTAAATATAAAAACATTTCCGGAAAAACATCTAAATATAAAAACATTTCCGGAAAAACATCTAAATATAAAAACATTTCCGGAAAAACATCTAAATATAAAAACATTTCCGGAAAAACATCTAAATATAAAAACATTTCCGGAAAAACATCTAAATATAAAAACATTTCCGGAAAAACATCTAAATATAAAAACATTTCCGGAAAAACATCTAAATATAAAAACATTTCCGGAAAAACATCTAAATATAAAAACATTTCCGGAAAAACATCTAAATATAAAAACATTTCCGGAAAAACATCTAAATATAAAAACATTTCCGGAAAAACATCTAAATATAAAAACATTTCCGGAAAAACATCTAAATATAAAAACATTTCCGGAAAAACATCTAAATATAAAAACATTTCCGGAAAAACATCTAAATATAAAAACATTTCCGGAAAAACATCTAAATATAAAAACATTTCCGGAAAAACATCTAAATATAAAAACATTTCCGGAAAAACATCTAAATATAAAAACATTTCCGGAAAAACATCTAAATATAAAAACATTTCCGGAAAAACATCTAAATATAAAAACATTTCCGGAAAAACATCTAAATATAAAAACATTTCCGGAAAAACATCTAAATATAAAAACATTTCCGGAAAAACATCTAAATATAAAAACATTTCCGGAAAAACATCTAAATATAAAAACATTTCCGGAAAAACATCTAAATATAAAAACATTTCCGGAAAAACATCTAAATATAAAAACATTTCCGGAAAAACATCTAAATATAAAAACATTTCCGGAAAAACATCTAAATATAAAAACATTTCCGGAAAAACATCTAAATATAAAAACATTTCCGGAAAAACATCTAAATATAAAAACATTTCCGGAAAAACATCTAAATATAAAAACATTTCCGGAAAAACATCTAAATATAAAAACATTTCCGGAAAAACATCTAAATATAAAAACATTTCCGGAAAAACATCTAAATATAAAAACATTTCCGGAAAAACATCTAAATATAAAAACATTTCCGGAAAAACATCTAAATATAAAAACATTAACAAAATAAATCTTTGAATGTTTTTAGTGGATACACTGTTTTGTAGACAACGTCAACTCTATTATATTTATTTCTTCACTTTCTGAATACGATCAAACATTAAGGGAGGATAATTGCACTAATAGAATGCTTGAATCACTTAAACTATTCGATTCAATTTGTAATAGTCCTTGGTTTTCAGAAATTCACTTTATTTGTAAGTTAGGGGGTTTTAATTAAAAGATTATATGTTAACTCTCGATATAACCCTCCGTCTTTGGATATCCCTTTAACTGAACCTACCTATCTGGCATACAAGACTGGGGTTTTTTTTAATTAAAATAGTATTCGTCGAACTCTCGTTATAACCCTCAATCCTTGGAGATAGCCCCATAACTAAACCTATCACCTATCTGGCATACCAGAATTGTCCCTTAAAATCTAGTTGGATACAGTCGGACCTCAATTTTACATATACCCTTAGAGCTGAAAAATGATATCTCAATAGAGTGTCCACACATATGTATGGCGTATCATTATAAGAGGAGGGAGAGGGTATCACTAGTACTTACAATACGGTCCAATTTAGGTGTGCGTAAACTCGAGATATAAAAGTATACAAAAATTATACCCGGTTACCTACCCTTCCTCAATGTCACCTATCTACTATTGACCGTTCATTACATGGAGGGGGGTATAACGGGAGTGTCACTGATTTGTCACTGACCCGTGACGTCCCTAGTTTACAGTATTTTTTCAAAATTTACAGTATTCCTCAACAAAAAGGACATTTTTGCCGAAAAAATAGCCCATTCCCCACTCAACGTTTGCTTTCCGGAATACAAAGGCCTTCAAAACCAAACAGAATGCACAAATTATATTCAATGGAAATTTGAACAAGTAAATAGATCTAATCAAAGGGAAATTTATTGTAAGGAATTTATAAAATAATAAAAAAATAATATTTTTAAAGGCCACCACACTTGTGCAACCGATACAAATGTAAAATTAATTAATTTTTTAAAGTAGGGATTGGCGGACAATAGGACCTGGAAGAGGAAATCGTCAGTGGATATTCCCGGGTTATGTTTCGTTTCCCTGACAAGTTTGAGATTCAGGGAGGAAATTAGAATCCTCCTCCTCCCTCCCGGTCCTTCTTTCTACCCAATCCCCTTCCTTTCTCCCCCAATCCTCCTCCCTTTCTCCTCCAATCTTCCTCCTTTTTCCTCAATCCTCCTCCTTTTTCCTTCAATCCTCCTCCCTTTCTCCTCCAATCTTCCTCCTTTTTCCTCAATCCTCCTCCTTTTTCCTTCAATCCTCCTCCCTTTCTCCTCCAATCTTCCTCCTTTTTCCTCAATCCTCCTCCTTTTTCCTTCAATCCTCCTCCCTTTCTCCCCCAATCCTCCTCCATTCTCCCCTAATCACCCTCCTCTCCCCCAATCCTCATCCCTTCTCTCCCAGTCCACCTCCCTTCTCCCCCAATCCTCCTCCTTTCTCCCCCAATCCTCCTCCCTTTCTCCTCCAATCTTCCTCCTTTTTCCTCAATCCTCCTCCTTTTTCCTTCAATCCTCCTCCCTTTCTCCTCCAATCTTCCTCCTTTTTCCTCAATCCTCCTCCTTTTTCCTTCAATCCTCCTCCCTTTCTCCCCCAATCCTCCTCCATTCTCCCCTAATCACCCTCCTCTCCCCCAATCCTCATCCCTTCTCTCCCAGTCCACCTCCCTTCTCCCCCAATCCTCCTCCTTTCTCCCCCAATCCTCCTTCTTTCTCCTCCAATCTTCCTCCTTTCTCTCCCAATCCTCCTCCTCCCTCCCGTCTTCCTTTCTCGATTCGAGTCCCTCCCGGCCCCTTTCCAATTCCACCTTCCCTTCCTCAATCTCATTTCCTTTGAAAAATACTTGAGTAAATACACTTTAAATTTAAGAATGTTCAATTTGTATTAGATGCTTGTCTAGACATGATAATTGCAAAAGTGAGTCTTTATTAAGACTAGATGTGAAAATTAAAAGATTAAGCTAAAAACCTAAAGAAAAAAGTTTAACAATAAAATTTAAGAATTTAAAATCAATGGGACTGTGCTGACAAAAAAACAAAAAATGCCAAAAAAGATGTTTTTTATTAACTCCAAAAAAATGCAAGGCAAAAATTATCGGTCTCGAAAATAAAGAAAACGACGAGAGACGGGGTAAATGATAATACAAAAATATAAATATATTGTGATTTTTGAAATACACAAAAATTAATTTAAAAAAAAAGAATAATTTATAAAATAAATTTATTTTACAAAAATAACAAAAATTTTAATTAATGATAACAAAAAAGATTTTTGCGAAAAAAGATAATTTTTTTGATAAATGAATATTTTGAAAAAATATATTTAATACCCTTATAACAATTACATAAAGAAAATTGGCACTTATCCGCTATACCCCAACAAATTGAGTGCCGGCTACCGTTGATTGATCGGCCATAACTTTTTGATACTTGATCCAATACGAATGAATTTTATATCATTCGAAAGCCCTCGATAAGCGCTATCTTTTTTCCAATTTGATGGATCAAGTCTGATCAAGTATTAAAAAGTTATAACCCAATAAATGTGAAAAACACCAAATAACCGGGTTTATCTGGTTATAACTTTTTAATACTTGATCAGTCCTTATACTTCCTTTTATAAGAAAGATACCGCTTATTTAGAGCTTTCGAATGATATGAAATTCATTCGTATTGATTCAAGTATTAAAAAGTTATGGACGATCAAAGTCGGCTGACAGTCAATTTGTGGGGGTATAACGGATAAGTAACAAAAAACTTAACCCAGGAAATTAAAAAATTGAAAACGAAAAAATAAGGCTAATAATGAAGATAATGGCCAACAAAACACAATTTTATAGTCAATAAATATATTTTACCCCTCCAATTTTTTATTTATTCACTCCATTTTTGTTAATTTTGTGCTTATCATAGTAGTGGTAAGGGTAATAATTTCTGTCTTGTAAATGTAGTAAGAGCGAGGTAAAAGTTTAATCCCGGGCAGGCTTCGATCCTGCGACCTCCTGGCAGTTATTGCTAGGCGCTTTCGCTCACCACGTACAGGTGCTCTACCAACTGAGCTACCGGGACGCTGCTTTCACCTTCTCTTTTATAAGATCTTAAACCCCCGCAGTCAGCGTTTTAAATGCTAGCCAGCTCTCTCTCCTTCTCTTCCTTACATCTCCATCCCTACACTAGACCGGTCCCTCGGTCTTTGCGCCCAGACCGATCAACCGGCGATCCAGCTGGAAGCAAGTGGGGTTGCCGCCTGGGAGCACCAGTAAGAGCGAGGTAAAAGTTTAATCCCGGGCAGGCTTCGATCCTGCGACCTCCTGGCAGTTATTGCTAGGCGCTTTCGCTCACCACGTACAGGTGCTCTACCAACTGAGCTACCGGGACGCTGCTTTCACCTTCTCTTTTATAAGATCTTAAACCCCCGCAGTCAGCGTTTTAAATGCTAGCCAGCTCTCTCTCCTTCTCTTCCTTACAATGTCGATTTCCGTTGTGATTGGAAGAATTATTATTATTTTTACTTTGTTGTTGAGGGGAAGTAGTAGTATGCTTCCTAAAAATTTAATTTAATAATCATTTCAATCCAGCTATTTTTCAACCCCAAAATTTATTCGAAGGAGCACTAAAGCCCCACAAACTTCCAAAATTTTGGGTACTTCCCTGACGCGACTATCTAGTCAACGAAGGGAAGAAAAGTGTAAAAAACAAGGAAATGGGCGGCAGCTAGAAATAACAACAACATCAAACTTTGCAGCAGGTGGGTAGTTGTATGGCCGAACAGATTAGGCCGCAGTTTGGAGAGAAGAGGCCCTGGATCCCACCCAAATTTTCACCCCTAAAAAAATTTCCCAAAAATTTTTTTCAAAAAATTTTTTTCTCAAATTAAAATTATTATTTTAATATTTCTTTACCACACACCTTTTAGTCCCTCGATAATATTCTTCTTTATTTTGCTTTTCTAAATTTTGCCCATTTTTGTCATTAATTTTTTCATAATTTGTTGTTGCCCCCATTTTTGATTTTCCATCACAATATTCAACACCAGAATCCGAAGAGGAATCATAAGAAGAAGAGGATGAACTTGATGAATCACAACTTGAAAAAAATATAATTTTTTAAATTTTTTGCGAACGTCCGCAAAAGTTGTCCGCAAAAATACGAGGAATAACTAAAAGGACTAAAAATCCAAAAAATTTTTCTTGCGGACAAAATTTGCGGACATTTGAATTTTTAAAAAATTAATTGAAAAAATCGTTTTACGGCTCGCTAATATCCAATGAAGCAATTCCATTCAATTTATTTATTTCATCAATTTTTTCAATTAGTTCTGGTCTAGATTTATTTACTACTTTTAACCAATGTAGCGCAAGTTGAGGACGTCTGAAAAAAAAATTAAAAAAATTTTTTTGAAGGAATTTTAAAATTAAAATCCAAAAAAAGAAAATTCCGCAAATTGAAAAAAAAGTCCGCAAGTTGAAAAGAAAAGTCCGCAAAAATAAAAGAAAGTCCGCAAGTTTATAATTTATTAAAATTCCCAAGGAGATTTTGTATTTTGACGAGGATCCCAAAAAAGCTCTTGAAATTCGGCGACTGGCAAATATCCAAAAAATAAAAAAAAACTTTTTTTGCGGACAGAATTTGCGGATTTTTTTTTATTTGCAGATTTTGATGACAAAAATAAATTTAAATTCCTTATATTATTTTAAAAAATCTCCAAACTGTTTAATTAATTTAGGCCAAACATTAGGTAAATTAACCACAGAACAAAAATTTTGAGTAACAGCGATAGTCGTCTCCAAATTCATTACAACATGCCACCAACCGGAAGGAACGAACATTAACTTGAATAATTAAATTAATAATTTTTAGAAGAGGAAGATCAGAATTTTTAAAAACCAGAATTTGTAAAAACCAGAATTTAAAAAATCAGAATTTTTGAAATCAAAATTTCGAAAAATCAGAATTTAAGAATTGAAAAAATCAGAATTTTAAAAACCAGAATTTCGAAAAATCAGAAATCTTTAAAAAATCAGAATTAAAAATCAGAATTTTTTAAAACAGAATTTCGAAAAATCAGAATCAAAAAACCAGAATTTAAAAATCAGAATTTTAAAAATCCGAATTTTTAAAAATAAAAATCAGAATCTTAATAAAATAAATCAGAAATTAATTAAAAATCAGAATTAAAAGCAAAACCTCTCCTGGCCTCTGAATTGCATGAATAACAGGAAAACGTTCATTATTCCAATGTGGACTACAAACTCGGGGAAAAACAGTTCCAAACCAAGTAATTGCTTCATCTGGGTGTACAAGATTTTTAGTTTCTTCAGTTTTTGGTTTAATTAATTGTTTGGGTGTAGAAGGGTGAATTAGGCACCATCTAAAAATTAAAAAAATAAATTTTTTTTTAAATGTTAAAAATATAAAAATTGCTTATTTTTGATTTTTGCGGACAACTTTTGCGGATTTTTTTCTTGCATTTTTGAAAGTTTGATATTTATTTAGCATTTTAAATTTGGCCAAATTAAATTTAAAAAATGACCGAAATAAAATATTTTTAATAAAAATCCACAGAAAATTATCCGCAAAAACAGTCCGCAAAAAAAAATCCGCAAAAAATTGCCCGAAAAAAATAGTCCGCAAAAATTTGGAGATGATTTTAAAAAAATGCCGAAGATGGGAAGGTGAGGGAAAATGCCCTCTCAAAAAATAATTTTTTTAAATTTTTTTTCTCAAAAATTCCCCCTACAATTTTTTTCTATTAATTACGGCCTATTAATTTTTATTTAATTACATTCAGTTTCAAAGTGCATTTATTTGTTGCTGCAACTGGAAATTGAGAGAATTTTTGGAAATTAAAAAAATTCTTAAAATTTTTTTCTAATGGTTTTAACAAAAATTTTTTTCTTACTTTTTGTGGCCAGAAATTAGAGCATTCCAAGCTGAAGTTCCAATTGGGTCAATGTGAATGGCTGTGCCTGATCTGGCTGGACCCATGACAAACCATCTAAAAAATTTTTTTTGAAAAATTCTTTAATCCGCAAATTCGTGTCCGCAAAAGAGAAATTTACAAAAAAATTTTAAAAAGGCAAAAAAAACTTGGAAATATTCCTAAGCATAAAAACATTCTCAAAAAAATTCAGAGTGATTTGGAATTAAAATTTTTTGCGGACAAAAAAATTATTTGCGAATAAAATTAAAAACTAATCAGATTGCAACTAACGGGCAATGGATTAGTGACAAGAAAAATAAAAAAATTAAAAAGAACCTATAGGGAGGTCTTCTCTTTTCAGCAGCATAACGAAACAAGTCGTCCTTGAAAAAATCTGGAACCTCATAATCATCCAAAATTTTTGAAGTTTTTTGTCGCTAAAAATTTAACAAGTCGGACCTTGAATTACTAACATATCTCCCTAGGCGCTGGAAAAAACCAAGGGAATATAAAATTAGGCAAGAGTGAATTCAGGGTCAGTTTTCAGGGGAGGAGAGGTGTGAGTAATCTCGGGATTATTTCACTCAAACAGACCCTTCTCCCCCAAATGAAAAAAATCATTAATAAAATACATAAAGAGAAAATTCGAAGGTACCCAAAAAAATTCATAAGTGTGCCGAAACATATTTTAAAAAGAGGTCGTTCGTCAACAACGACGTTAACGAAAAAATCGAGAGAAAAAAAGGCGAAAATCAAAGGAAGACGAAAACGGCAAATCCCAGGTATATGAATCCGAGGTCCAACTATACTTCAAAAATAAAAATAACAAAAAAACCTCTCCAAAACCAGAATCAAAAATATAAAGAGGCGAATCATCACAATTTGCTGTCATATAATGCAAATAATATTTCATTTTCAACTTTACAGAGTATCCATCGTCGTCTTCCCCACATTTAAATTTTTGGTTTCGATAAGCTCGGTGAAGGGCCTAAAAAATTATTTTTAGTTCAAGTCAAAGGACTCAATGAGGTTCAAGTCAAGAACATAAACAGAAATTATTTTTGGGGTTCATGGGCCAAGGTTCTGAAGGAAGCCCAAGCCAAGTTATTCTACCATTAAGCTCTACAGGCCAAATATTTTTCAGAACCTCGTAGAAGCGGAACGAGTTTTTAAAATAATGCTAACTAAGAGGGTGTTTTTGTGCCCATACCCCCAAAAAGATTCAAGGAAATAGAAAAAGAATAGGCAAACTCAAGTTTCAAGTCTATCCATTTTTAATAATTTTGAGGAAAAAAACGAAATTCAATTTTACCAAATAATCGAAAAATTCCCCAAAATTATCAAAAAAAACCTGTAAATTCCACCGCTCATTAGCCTTCCATTCATCCATCAAACCCAACAAAATCACAGGTTTATCCAACTTTTCATAACGTTCAGCAAATTCTTGACAAGTCATTTTGGAGGCATCCACGCGTTCTATAGTATCCGGTCCCAGCGCCATTTGAGAAAGAAATTGAGCAGAATTTACAGAATAACCTTCGCTGTACCATTCATTCTTTTTAAGCTCTGAAAAAAAATTTTTTGAGAGGTTTTGAACGGGGGGGGGGTACTTGTGTAGTTTACCCCCCATAAGCCTTTTGTTCTTTCCTTTTCTTATAAAATAAGTTAGCCCAATATTTTGTTTATTTCAGAAAATAAGCTTATAAGGAAGAGAAAAAATGGGCGTGGCTTAAGGGGGGTAAACTACACAATACCCAGAGGTTAACATAAAAATACGAAAGACGGGCTCTTAGAGACGGGCTATTAGACTTATAATCTGACCCAAATAAAATTTTGAGAACTCGACCCCGCTTTTGTCTATTCGACTCGTGATATCCCTCGTTTGGAAGCAATGAAGTCTGGAAGGATTATTTAGGAAAGATTTTGGAAGGAATTTAATGAAATATTTTTTTGGGAAGAGAAATGTTCCGAGTTACACGAAATCTAAGCTTATTGCTACACGAAATCCGAGCCCAAATTTTTAAGGTAGGCAAACTGCAACGTCAAAAATTAGAGCAAATGACCGGACTAGTCCCATTAAGCCCTGTAAAGAAATGCCGGTCATATTATAATTCATAGGACCATTTTTCTCCACAAATTTACTCCTTAAAGGGGGCCGTAAACGACAAAATTCCCGAGACTAGTAGGACCAGACCTGTTTTAAGCAAACCTTAAATTCCTAGAAGATTTTTGGATTGAAAATTCCTTAAAAATAAACAAAAATATACCAGATCTCGCCTTTCGTTTAACAGCATCAACCGCCTTTGCAGTCCTCTTGTGGTAAAAAACATGCCGTCTATCTCCCAGTAATTTATCAGAAGGCGATTTATTTGAGCCATTAGAATTATTCTTGTTAGATTTAAGTGTATTTAAAGTTCCATTTTCGACATATGAAGAGATTTTAAGGTAGTTTTCCATTTTTATTGCCTAAAAAAGAAAAAAAGTTTTGAGAAAAATGAGAGCAATTTCCAAAAAAATAAGTTTAAGATGCGAGGCGGAACGCTTCACAGGATTTCACAGACTCCCACATTCATTCCTAGCAGATGCACTAGAAGGAAAAATTAATTGAACAATCGAAATTCAAAAAGTTTGTTGGAATCAGAAAAGTTATCCCGGTCGAGACTCTAACAACCCTCTTTATTAGAGTATTCAAAAATGGGTAGGGGACGATTCAGTATCGCCGATTCAGTATTGGCCGATTCAGTATTTGGGCTTTTTGGCCATAACTTTTTGCTCGATCAATATTGTAGAAATTATTATATATGATTTGATAGGCCTCGGGGTGCTGCATCTTTTTCATAATTGGACTGACCTGATCTGATCACTCTACAAAAAGTTATCACTGAAAAACGACGTCACAGGCATAAAAAATCCGTTTTCACGCTGTAACTTTTTTTGAGATCATCAGATCTGATCGGGCCAATTATGAAAAAGATGTCAAATCAAGAGACCTTTCAAATGATATGAGAATTATTCGAATCGGTCGAATATCAGGAAAGTTATGGCCATATACTGAATCGGCGGATACTGAATCGGCGATACTGAATCGTCCTTAACCGTTCAAAAATAAAAAAGTTTGGCAAAATGTTTTGCGACATTTTGCCATTTATTGTCAAATATCAATTAACCTTTCGCCAATGTATCGTCCGTCAATAAACCTTTCGTCAAAACGACAGAAAATGTTTTTTGTTCTAACTTATATCCTCTGATATCACTTAAAGCTTCGGATATTATCTTTGATCTCTCCAATTCCTTTATATTTCCGACTTAGTTTAAGAAAACGGTGATTTGTTTTATGTCCGAGGGTCGTCAGATTTAACTAAAGTCTACGTGCAATGATTAACAATTTATCTGTCGAGAAATAACAATGTGCAGGCGAAGGGATAGAGTTGGAACAGACGAAGGAGATCAGGGACTAGCCGGGCTAGTATGATCCAACTAGACTGACGCTTACAGTGGCTTTTATAGTAGTGTCACCACTACGCAACAATTTGGAGAGATTAAGAGGGATTGCGGGGGAGTAGAAGCATACATAGGGCGGAGGTGTTTAGAGATGATTTATGGGATATATATAAGACTCCGATATCCGCCTAATCTATACAAATCCTCTGATGTCCTTTGAAAGGTATTAACGGAAGGTGCATTGACGTCAATAAACGTTAGAGAACCATTGGGCATTTTTTCTGATTATTCTTTTAATTTATTTTAATATTTTTTTTAATTTCTGAGTTATGTTTATTAAAAACAAATTACAATTTTGCACTCTAAAAGTTTAAATTGTCTGATTTTGAAATAGGAAATTTAACGAGTCTGTTTTTTGTATCCTTTTTTAAGTTTTGCCGAAAAATTATTTTTGTAAATATTTATGTTGTTTAATAAGAAAAGGGCATCTTTTCAAAACGCTCGCTTTGCATTTAACGGAAAAAATGATATGGAAAACCCGCCTAATCGATGGAAAAGCCTGCCGCTCACGTGAAATCTATACAGCGATGCGTATTCTTATTTTTGAATTTATTTTTAAGTGAAGGGAATTTTAATTAATTATACAATTTTAATTAATTATACATTAAATCTTATTTAAAAATTTAATTTTAAAAGAGAAATTTAAAAAATTATTTTATAATTAAATTTTCGTTTAGATGAACCATCAACTTTTAAAATATTCCCACCCAAAAATTAATTTAATCATTCTACCTTCTATATTTCTATTTATTCTTATTTCTTCAATTTCCTGTAACTTTCATATTTCTGTACAAATATCTGGAACATGGACAAAACTTCGGGAATTTCAATGGCTCGCTCCGGTGGATGCAGAAAAACGTTTTAAATGCTTTGTTTTTAGTGAAAACTCGGGGAAATATGAAGGAAGATTAGTCGATGTAAACAATCAAAATGACATGTTATTCTATTTTATGATAGCCTCCAATGAAAAAGACAAACTAGAAAGACTTTGGCAAATTGAATGCATTGTTTGTATGCCTGTATTTATTCAAAATTTATTGAAGAATTTGGATTATCAAGTCAGTAAATAGGGAACTAAAATTTTAATAATAAAATCTGTTAAACAATAGATTATCTGAATATCATTTCAGCGCATTAGACGTTTCTTTAGAATTAATGAAGTGGGGTTGGACAAACCCATCAACATTTCTTTTGAAAATAAAACTGTCAAACACGAAAGCAGCATTGCTGACATGCTTAAAAATGATCGTCTTAAGTATCAACACTTGAGCGATCATCAATACGAGCTCAGATCATTGCGAATAATGTCAGATTTTGAAAAGTTTATAATGAGAGATGAAAAACAGTCTTGGAGGGAATACAAATATGGCCTGATATATTTGCAAATGTATAATATGGTGTTACTAAAGGACCTAATTTTCATGTATCCACCAAACAGTGTGGGTAGAGAAAAGTATGAAAGATTGCTAGATAATTGTTATAGTAAGATGATCGAAATTGCCTCAGAGTTGGAAACTGATGGTGGGAAAGGTAAAAAGATTTTTTGTAAAATATTAAAAAAATATAAATTAACAAGAATGATTAAAAGTTCAACCCGAGAAGCGTCGAGTCTGCAACCTAGCATTTAATTTTAGACGTTTTTGCTCATAAAAAGTGCTCTAAAACTTAGCTATTGAGGCTTTTTCTCTTTTAATAAATCGTAAGGCTCATCACAGTTAAATGCTAGCCAGAATATCGTTTCTTCCTTAAAAATTAGGGACGTAATATTATTTAGCGCTAAATAGCTTTTGTGGCTTGGACAAAAACTGATTTTTAATATTTTTTCATATAGAAAAATTTACGCTACAAAAACAAGAAAAATTACCATTGAATATGTTATACTCTGCTATTTCATCAATAAAGGACAATCTACAACCTCCTATTGCGGATAAAACTGCGATAGCTACTAAATTACCAACAATATTTTCAGGTAATCTACATATTTGAGTTACACAAGTAACCTCACTATTGAAATGAGGATTATATATTTAATATACTTATACAATCGGATCATGAAATGTTAAATTACTAATATTCGGAACCTATAGATACGGGTTCTGAGAGTTGTTTTAAGCAGTTTATATACATTCGAAAATACAGCTATTTAATCCCTAAGTCTGTGCAGTTGGCGGATTGGTGTGATGGATAACACATCATCCCGATCTACTGAATATGCTGGTTCGCTACCCGCCGCCGAATAAGCTTTGAATTCGCTGAAGGAGAGAAATAGCTATAGCCCAGCTGCTTTACTTTATAAACTCAAAATGAAAATTTAAATTTTGAAGGCCAACCGCCAGATATTTTAACAAAACTCAACGCTGAGATTATAACACAACAAGTTCACAATATTCAGTCAATTCAAAAAAATATAAATGCTAAAGATGATATGAATGATCCAATGCATATTCAAGGACAAGAAGCTCAGAGCTATAAAACAATCGCTAGTCCAGGTAGAATTAAAGCAAGAATTGTAATTTATGTTTGACACTAATTTTTAGCAATGCCCCAACATACGAGCATACACAAAACATCACTACTTCAGACATCGGTTCCTTTATCTATACACCATACGGATCCTCAGATTAAACCACAGACTACGGCCTATCAGACAACAGCTTCTCTTATAGAACGCACAATGCCTTCAGTTAGTTCACAAGCCAGGACCAAGCAGATTATGTCACAAGAAACGGTTCCTCCGTCTATACAGCAAATGACTCCACCAATTACATCACAAACAACAACTAGTCAAATTATTCCACAAACAACACTTCAACAGATTAGCTCGCAGACTACGGTCCGTCGGACGACGCTTCCTCCGTTTATACATGAAACAATTCCTCAGAGTAGTTCACTAGCAATGGATCCTCCGTCTGTTCAGCAAACGTTCCCTCCAAGCATACCACAAACAGCAAATTCCCAAATTGGACCACAAGCAACGATTACTCCAACTAAATTACATTATCTAAAGAGAGGCATACTCAATATACACAATATTTTTAACAACATAGCATGGATAGTAAAAACGTTTATAGACAATCCATCTGAATTTAATTTCGACATTAGCACACCTAAATTGGAGGAATTTGTTAAACAACTAGATGAGCAATCTGAGAGATTTGACACAGAAAAAAATAAAATTTTTGACACCACAGAGAAAGGATTATTAACACTTTTGGGACAACAAGTAACAAATTTAGTCAATGGAACAAAGGATATAATTATTTTATTGAAATTGTTTGCTCGAGAGACTAGCCAAAAAGAAAAGTTAAGAACCAGAGAAGACATACAATTTTTATATACAAAAATGTTGACTGAAAATGAATTAATTAAGCAGAGACAGACAAATTTTATAAGGCAAAGTAATGAACAAACAAGGCGAAGACGGAGTCAAGGTAGTTATTCTATGTTAGAATGGGCCATTATATACTACCATATTAATTTGCAATAGAGAGAATGACCCCCTTCATTTGAATGGTCCCCTCAAATAGAATGACCCTTAGGAGGATGATTAAAAAATAGAATGCCGGCCATTCTATTATCTTGTATGTGTTATCGAAGCAAACTAACGGGATTTAACATGTCGTTACAGAGCGTGTTAGAATTTTCGCTGACATGCGTCGAGATTCGGTAGAAAGTATTGTTGAATCAGTCAGCTCGTCGCGTTACATCAAACCTTACCAGTCACAGATTAGTAAATTTTAACCAAAGTTACATCCCTCGACGGAATAAATTATTTCTAAAATAAATTATTTATTAGTAAATCAAAATCAAGGCCTGGTCAGCAACCCATCAATGGAACAAATAGCTTATTCAGAGGAAGAAAACAAGGCACAACATTTAATAGAAAAACAAATCCAAAAAAGCATCTCGGAAACTTCTAATGACGATAACACTATTCCAATAAATGAGGATACTATTAAT